GACTCGAACGCACTATTTACTTTTAAAGCACTATTAATATCGTAATTTCATTTTAAAGCTTGTCTCATATTCCATCGGCCCTTTCTGGTTTATTTTCTAGTTAATATCATCGACATGTCACTGAAACAGATTATGACGCCTTCCCTGGCCGCAAGACGAAGAACCCTTTTGAGAGTATGTAAAAAATGCTAGAGAAATTTCTTATCATTTCCCTGCGGTACTTACAGTAGAAACCCCGTGTGTCCCGTCATGAGAGAAGCCTGAATGATTAAAAATAAAGCTACCTCAATAATCTCACTGCAACGACATGCTAATATGGTAAAAAATTCCAGAGGAAACATACTTTTAAAATCTGTTTTATAGAGTAAAAGTAAGTGTCGTTTAAGAATAGCTAGCAGTAATCATAGATTTAAATCAATGAGATTACTCATTTAAAAATTGGTTCATATATAGCACCATTGACCATTGCCTTTTCACACTGACCCGGTCAGTTGAACAATAATACTTTTCTTCATTAAACATTCAATCAAAAATTCCAAAATTGAAAGCTGCGTTGCTTAGGAGCGCCTTTGACGCAATCCGCGGTATCTAATTCCGAGCACTCCTGTGGTTTAGTTTCTTCTTCCTAGATGCCTCCAGCTGATTAAACATTCGCTTTCTTTGAATTACAGGTCTAAGCGGTGGAGAGGGAGGTAAACCCACCACTCGAGCTCCAACCACTAAACCTGTAGTCACGACAGTGGCTCCAACAACAGGATGTAAGTGAACGTGTCAATTTATATGTTTTTTTTTTTCTCAGTTCAAATTAATCATTCTCACTGATTTGGGTGCCGAGGATCGTCTGATACTCTACACGTTCACAATTATTGCTCGGCATATACTTCACAAAACCACTGCCTTGACTTTCTACAGTCCCAGCCACAGCTTCCATTTGTATTGTATCAGCAACCTCTGGGTTCGCCTCTGGGGTAAGCGACTATGGCTATACCACACTGATCTATGCATAAGGCTGGCACTCCACGGGTAATTGGCTGAGAGTATACACACGGGTTGTGGCCAAACTGTGTAGTTGTGTGGCGTGACCATGACCATTGCTTTCAGATGGTTTATATGAGCTGATGACTAAGATATTTTTCTCTTGATTCACAGTTCAACCAGCGACATATGTATTTATTGGCTGTTTCCAGGATTCCGGCGAAAAGCCTCGTCCATTGCCCCTATTGATCGCAAACATGAGAAAAGGCATTGATTGGTACAATCTCGGCAAGACAGTACAAGCATGCGCAAATGTGGCAAAGAACAAAAGGTCGGTTTTCTTGAGTTTTAAGGTTTATCTTTTACCTTGCTGGAAACCTTAATTTGCGTCACGTATTTTAACCTAGATAGGAAAACGTAAAAAAGAAAAAAAAAACACTGCAGTCACCAAAGATATCATAATCATTTTCCGTGTTCGTGCTAGTAAGCAATCAATCAATCAATCAATCAATCAATCAATCAATCAATCTTTATTTGTACTCACTCTTGCTAAGAAAAATTACAATGTTCAATGAAAATATGAAAAGTAAAAATTCGAGTCCTAGCTGCCTGGACTAACCATAGGGGCTAGCAGAGCCAGGCAGCCAGTAAACATCAGCATTAAATAGAAATAAAGTACAGGTCAGCAAGAAAACTGAAGCACAAATGCACACACAAGAAGAAAAAAATAGAGGAAAAACGCCATTTCTATGCTATGAATCGAAGGAAGTCTAAAATAGTTAAATTTATATGTGAATACTATACAAAACATTAATATAAGAGGAGCACACAATAGCTGTAGCAACTAATAGGATGTATATAGAGAGTTCCTCTCCGCGAAAAAATGGGTCGGTTTTGTGGACACGGTAAAAATATACCGGAACATTCTTAGGCCAATATGGGAAAATCTAAGTTCTTACAGATGGACTTTTAATGGTACTATTACTCGCCCTGTGCTATTCCGCCAGGTTAGATATTTTCGGTAAGTCTTTGGTTGTGACCTTTGCCGTAAGCGATTGTAGTTTGTGTATGCAGAAACCATACTGTTGTATTTGACTATGTTCGTAGACTGGAATATTTCGGGGTGCAGTTTTACGGCGAGTGTTGGAGTGGACCTGACGCAGGCGAAACGTTTGCAAGAGATGGGCCTTCCGAAGCTTGTTATGAAGGGGTCGGCAAGACAAAAACCAATGCCGTTTATCGCATAGAAGACCTTCCAGGTAAGCAATAACAGATTTCTTGGAGAATATTTCCTAAGACTATTCAAGGCGCACGCCAAATTTGAATATATTCCTGAAATATTTAAGATTACTAAAGCATGTGCACGTAAGGTATTCAAGTCTCGAATGTGGGATTTGGAGCTCTACAGTATTCTAGCTGGAAAGGAGCTAGTCTGTCAACAAACCCTATATTTTGTCTTGAGTTCGTCGAGATAGCAAGCAAAAGAAGAAAAAAATAACTCGTAGAAAATAGATAAATGTCTGTGGACTGACAAGCAAGAAGCAAGGGAAAAAAAACGATACGTACATCTAAAGAATTCAAGAATGTTCAAGCACGTAGACTTGATGCATTTAGGACCGTTATTTCCATTTCTTAGTCCTGTTCAAGTTCGTTGCAGCGAGTGAACATAAATTCGTTCCCTTTGGGTTAGGACTCCCCCCACCCCAAAGACGGAGATTATGCTTGCATGGCTGTAAGTACGCTGAACGTTTTAAAATTGCGTCGAATTACAAAACAAACAGTGCCTCGAGAGCGAACTGGGTGCCTGATACAAAAGGGTAGATATGGTTGCAACACTCAATAAAAACATTCTTCAACAGTGCGTCTGTTTTTCAGCATGTTCTTCGGAGCTCCGTTTCAAGGCAGAAGTCAGTAGCGGTCAAGTCAGTGGACAGGCTTGGTGTGCGGGAGATTCTGATGAATTTCAGTGGATAACTTTGGATTTTGGTGGTGAAAGAAAAATTTCAGGTGAACAGGGGATTTTACACTCATGGGGAAATAGAAAGATGGGGTTTTTCGACAAGTATCTATATATATTAGAGTATCAGTTTGTGGATCACAGCCAAAGTGCACTGCAAGTTAAATTTCTGGTTATGTTAAATATTGCAATTTGCGTCTTATCAAATGTACATGTAATGTTAACGATAGCTGAAAGTGCAAGAAGAACCCCACACCTCTGGATATAGCCACACAATTGTAAGCATCAACTCTGTACCAGAATTTTATCAATTTGATTTCCAAGAAGCATTACACAGAAAACCTCCAATAATCAGTTCTTGATGAATGAGTATAGTAACTATTTTAAAGTTTTATATGTATATTGAGAATTCATGTTGACCTGGACATGAGCGTAAGTCTTTCTTGTTTGCATCTCAAGGCGTCGGCACTCAGGGTGCTGATAGGGACAACTGGGTAACCATATACACTCTTGAGTGGAGTGAGGAAGGAGAATCCTGGGAGCCCTACCAGGAAGATGGTCATGATAAGGTACTGTGATTTTATCAACCCTTAAATTTTCTGGCTGTCTTCTTCATTGTCCGTCGGTCAGCAGTCAGTCATTCAGTCAGTCGGTCAGTCTGTCAGTCACTTCATTCAGTAGGGTAGTCAGGTAGTCAAGTAGTCAGTCAGTCAGTCATTCAGTCAGTCAATCGTCCTTCACTATTTCTGTTTGTCTGTCTCTCTGCCTATCTATCTCTGTCAGTTTCTCTGTCTATCACTCTTTCACCCCCTCGCTCACTCACTCACTAGATGTATGCCTTTACAGATCTTTACAGGGAATTCAGATCGATTCACTTTAGAGACACACTGGTTGAAGTATCCGATCACCACTGGTTTCTTACGCTTCAGACCAAAGTCATGGACCTCTACACACGTCTGTATGAAGATAAGAGTCTACGGTTGCAACGTGTAAAGAAGGCGTATACTTAGAAAGCAGACTCTTCGGTTAAGGTAGGTTTAATCTAAGCGCCAATCTGTATGCCTTCTGATAAGTACAGTCTGACCCCTATTAAGCGGTCACCTATTAAACCATTTCCCCGAGGTTGGCCGTTTAATAGGGGTTCAACTGTAGGTAGCAAAATCGACTCATTTGTCGAACATAACTTTTTACGTTCTGAATGAAGCTATGAGGAACAATTGTAACAATGATATAGCGATAGCTTCACGCAGAAAACTTCAAAATGGCAGCAAGGTTAGTTAATTTAATACAGAAAACTCCGCAATACATTACTTTGCTCCAAGAAACCCGTTATGTTGCCATTTCAAATTAACCACGTGATTCCAATCCCAGGAAACCGTTTACCTAAATATACAGCTCTGAATAAAAAAAAAA